CCCATGTAAGCTTCCTATCGGTCTGTGACGCTGAGGTCAAAGTGGGCGCTAGGCAAAAGTCTAAATGATTTGGAGAACTGGCTGTCAGCCTCATAACAGATCTATGAAGACCGAAGAGGAGTGAGTAGGCTTTTTGCAGAACCTCAAGACAGAGTTGCTGTCGTGATGAAGGGATAGATGAAGTTGCTGAAGCAGGCAATGCCACAGTTGGGCATGGCGAAATGGTGTGAACACGTTCTCCAACAGCTGTCGGCATCGGGCAAAATTCTTGCCGCCGGCGGTTTAGCAAATTGCAGCCAGGCGTACACGCAAATGGACTTGTAGATGTCAGAAAGCCCAAACCGGCTGGAGTTCCCGAGTTGTGCTTTGCACAATTTTGCCCTGAAGGCGGAGACTGAGTGTCTCTAGCTTTGAGTTTTAGCCACTTCCAGTCGGGTGAGAGGGATACATGACGCGAAGAGGATTTGACAGTTTCAGGAACACTGGCGATTGAGATGACAGGAAAAACTGGCTCCGAGTGTACAGATTTGAGTTTGATCTGATCACCAATGTCGGTGTGAGGTAAGGAGAGGAACGAATAGACATCCATGCCGATTTTATCCAACCAAGTGGAGGCACTCTCAGGCAGCAGATGGGCTTCCATAATGAGAATCACGCCCTACAACAAAAGTTTGGACGGATGAATAGAATAGAGGCATAGTTGTTAAGAAATGTAGATCATTAAGTTGATTTTTATCCACTTGCAATTCGTGCTAATTAAAAATGGAGCATAACTAGACATGAAAATGGTGTACGATTTGACAAAAAATAAATAAGGCATTAGTTATTATTTATAAAGTTGGAAAGTTCGAAATAGTTTTCATTTGCTCATCCAAATTTACTATCTTAAAAATCGAATAACTACATGCGAGGAAGTCATAAAGTTGGCATTATGGATTGAAGCACGATAGATGCAGCGGAGGCTATAGCTGGTTGGTTAACAGTAGACGTATTTGACCATAGACATGGCCTATGAAACAAAGGCCTGACGATGAGAATTACTCGGGATCTACAGCCTCAAGTTAGTATCCAATCCAGCTTGACAATCCAGACTTTGTTGAGAGATATCACAACTGTTTAGTAGGCAACTGACCAAAGGATGGAATTCACTTATACCTTTGACGAGTTGTAGTGTGGTGATAAGAATGGCAATGCTCATTGACGATGCCGGCGAAAAGTCTGGGAATCTACCACGTCCATGGTCCGGCTTTGGAAATTATCATTTATACTATGGACTACGGACTAGATGCGTTCCTATAGGTCTTCTTGCCAATACGACCAAGTTGATAAAACAAGGTCAAACAACGAAATGATACAGCGATTATACGAAAGGCCACATCAACTTGGTCTTCATACCTTCTAAGTACATGTAACATTCGAAGGATACAACTAAAGACAGGAATTGACATTTTATAAGTCGAGCACAAAAAAGAAAAAAAAAGTGAGTTGACCTCGATGCTTCAATTTATTTTGTAATCAGGGCGACTTAGTTGGGTGTACTTTGTACTATGTACTCTGCTATAGTAGTTATCATAATTTCCAGCGTCGGGTCTTGGACTTGGTACATTGCCAGACGTTTCGCAGGCATCGTGGTAGCTCCATTCTTAGCACCAAGCTACAACTCATCAGAGGGACAAGTGAAGTCAACCCTTCGACCAATTGTCTGCTAAACAGTTTTGGTATTTCTCCTTATCAGACAATTGGCTGAGGAATTGACTTAACTTATCTCTTTGACTAGTTGTAGCTTGCTGCTGTGAATGGAAATACTCACTGATGATGCCTATTACAGTGGCGGCGAAACGTCTGGGGATGTACCAAGTTCACGATTCGATGCTGGGAATTATGACAGCTTCTACAGCAGAAGACTTCCGATAAGGTGCGTCCGAATAAGTCTCGCTGATAACACATCAAATGAAGACTGCGACCATACCAAAGGTCACATCATTTTGGTCTTCATATCTTCAAAAAAAAAAGTCAATTCTTTTGAGCAATGGAATCTGCAACAAGTCATGTCTAAATAATACGTTAATTCAGAAACAAAAGCATGGTTTGAATTTAACGAAAAGTTTTAATTTAACTTGTCCACAGTGAAAAAAAAGATTTTCCTTAGACGATAAAGCAAAATGTTTAAGTTCAAAATGCTAGGCGATTAGACAAAAACACAAATCATACAAGGAGTTGGAATAATTCGGCAGTATAAAGTAAACTAAATCTCACCGGGTATTACGCTGCTCTCTGAAGCTTGAAACAATTTGTCAGTGCTAAAATAAATTTCAGACGTAATTCCTCTGCATTACAAAACAAACAATTATTAATTATTTTCTATCCTCAACTACTCAAATGAAAAAATCTCGAAGTTCTTAAGTTTATAAAAGCTTTACTTTTCCTATAAAATGAGTAGACAAATGTAAAAGAGATAAAGGTCAAATTAAGGATTTGGGACCAACAAGGTATATTAGCTTAACTCTGAAGTAGCTTGTAAATGAAATTAAAAATAAAATGAATGCAAATCGAACTCATGTTCATCATACTTCGTCACATCAAATAATACCTGTAGCCTGGAAATGAGGTCACAGAGCCCATTAAGAGTTCGCACAACGCAGAGTGCCAGTTGCGGATGAATTGGAGCCAGCTGATAATTAAAAGCTTCGTTCGGACAGTCAGCAAGCGCTAGATCGGCAATATAATTGCAATCAACGGGCTCAACAAAAGGAATCCTGGAGTTGCCATTAGTTGGAAGTTCAGGATAGCACGATTTGGGGTAAACATGAAGCTGGTCAGAAGATGCTCGAAAAGGAGAGGTCCCATGCTCGATGCTTGAAAATTGTGGAATCGGGTAAACAGAAAGCCAACGAAAAAGCCGGGAACTTCTGGTATGGAGGGCGTACCAACCGGTCCAGAGACAGGGAGCCAACAAATAACAGCTGAGCCGACTCTCAGACAGTCCAGAAGCCCAACGTGAAGAGGAGTGATCGTTTGGAACAAAGGTATCTTGAAAATCAGACATTTTGACACCGATCTCAGCAGACAATGAACTGAGGCGAGCTGATCCATGCGCTCTGCGCCAAGCAACCAGATGATCTAGAGCTAGACGGGCAAATGCCAGCTGGGTCTCAATGCGCTGGAGACGGCCAGATGGTGATGTTGAATGATGGCTTAGAGCAGAAATACCAGCACAGTCTATGTCGAGATTGTGAGGACGGGGCATTGAGAGATAGCACGTAAGCCCACGCCAATCTAATGAAGAAATCGTTTTAAATTTATAGGGATAAATTGAAATTGGCTCAAGGAAAAGGGGATTCTAGGTTTTTAAACACTGATACAAAAAGAGAATGATAAACACTAACATTTACTAGTTTATTTATCATTTCAAGCATATCAAATAGAAAACGTGGATTAAGAAGATTGTTAGAAAAGAGAATATTTAGCAAGTCGGACGTGTGAATTTCTCAAAAAAGAGCAAACGCAATAAATTTAATCGTATTGACAAGTATATACCTCTAAGGATAATGTACTCACTTAGAGCTATCAAAAACAGTACAAGATTTATGCAAAAGTTTTCCCTTATGAAAAGATTTACGTCTACGAGGTTAAACAAGAGATTATGATATCCAAGAACTCTGAAAAAGATAATAATTGATGCTTAAAAATTCAAATATATTCCCCAAAACACTGTTCATATTAGCAGTAAAAAAGCAGAGTATTTGGATAAAGGTGGGTTCAAGGTAATAATGAGTGAAATGGCCTAAAATGAAAAGTCAACGACTTGAGATAGAAGGGGAGCAAAAACCAAGTTTATAGAAACAATAGTCATCCTCATAGTAAAAATGACAATCACCACGAAAAGTATAAAAAAATGTTGTGTGATATATCATTTAAAGAGATCGCCAGCAAATCTATGTCAATTGTTCAATCCTGATTCATTTTGGCGTTATATTAAATTAAAAGGAGAGGCTATAAAATGTGCTTGACAGACCTCAAGACAGATGGTAAACTTGTTAAAGCAAATAAGCTTGAGGCAGGACAAAATGCAAAATGATACTGATCAGTCTAGCTTTATGATGAAATATCTGTAAATAGTTGGTGAAGAGTCAATAGATGGCCAAGAAAAAGTAGTGTTGAATTTTAGTGACGTTTAGAAGTGGTTTGTTCTCATTTTCGAAACTAGG